CATCAACGCTACAGTGAAGGCGATCTTTGCTTCATCACTAAGTCTGGTGTTGTTGGTGGCGACGAAGTAGGAGAGGACGCATTGGATGAAGCGTCTGAGGTCCTCCGCCTTTCCGCTGAAAGGTTCGGGAGCGGGGATGTCAAGGCGAAGGGGTCGGTTGGCAGTTGACTGTTGGGATTGGTATGCTGCGAGGGCGACAGCGATGCACTGATCGATGTCTGCTTGAGTGAACGTTGCCATAGGGACTTCAACCGGTGCGTTGGTTGGTGCAGGTGGAGCTGGTGGTAGTTCTGGAGCCTCGATGGGAACGTACTGAACGTCCGGGAGCTCGAACGGTTGTTCGTTAACAGGTGACTGTAGGTTCTCTGTTGTTTGTGCTGGTTCGACGTTGATTCGTAGGGTGGCGAATACGTCTTCTGGGTGAGCGGGAGGGTGTCTCTGGTAATAGCTGACAAGCTGTTGATGGGCAATGATCTGCGGGTTGGATCCTTCTGCGCGAACCCAGGAGCCGCCTCGAGGATAGATGGGAGTCCTTCTTGTGGTGGTGACGAAGCAACGGTCTGCTCGGTCGTACTGGAGAAGGGGAGATCCTGCGAGGGCTGGTAGTCCCAAGGGAACCGGGTTTACTGCGTTGTTCGACGTGATGGTGGATGAGTTGTTCGACTAGGTGAAACTAGGAACGTAGCTTAGAAAGTTCGACCTTTTGATACAACGGTCTATACTCCTATATCGATGCCTGACTCGTAGACGACGAGCGAGGGCTTATGGACAGTGCGTCGTCCTGAAGATCGAGCGAGGAAGTCGAGAATGACCACTACCCCAAGTGAGGAGGAGCAGAGACTTGAATGAATAACCAGGTCGAACTTAGGGTTCGACCGACTAATGGTACAACTACTTATACAAGTACCGACTACGCACGGACCATCGTGTCTATGTGGTTGTGTTAGTGAAGAAAGAAATGTAGTGGTACGATACCAGGTACAAAGTGCGCACGGACCCCATTATGTAAGCTACATAATGTTCAACCTGCGGGTGAGCGCTAAGACAGGCGCCAGTATGGGCGCTAGTAGTACAAGAAACAGAGTGGAAAGACAAATGTTTCAGATATCGATTTATGCTAATGCTTTCATGCAAAAAGATCAAGTCTGAATTATCGGGTTGGAGGACGAAGAATAGTAGCAGATATGAGTCGTAGTCCATTGTCAGATAAATAATCAAACACGAGGACGAGGCCATCTGCAGACAGTATGATTTCGCCGACACAGCCAGAATGCACATACCCCACATGAACACATATCGCAGAAGACTGGAAGAAACATGATACGCAAGTGAGACGAATTCTTGAAAGGAGTGGCTGAGACATACATATCAGACTGAACTTGATCCATCAGAGAAGTATAACCCCTCTGGGGATATTATTGTATTGAGCCCATGAGAATTTAATACAGATGTTGACATCCCGTCGAATTGCAGGCTTGATATTGGCCTCATTGTGGAAATGACGTCCGAATAGCTCTTCCCCTTGATTGTGTGGATGATGATCAGAAGCGATGAGATTGTCTACAGTTTCAATGAGAAAGTACGTCCATGATGACGAAACGCACGCACTCACCTGTATCTGGCCGACAATTTGTAAAATTAAGTACGCAAGTGAGCTATTCACGGCCTCGGTGATGAGGAGCATGGATGAGAACACGGCAAACAGCGAGGCCGATTCCACGAGGACCATGGACAGGTATCCGTAATACTTTCCATGTTCTTCACCTAGTGCTCGAACTAAGCGCGAACGGAAGCGGAGTAGCCGTGCCACGATGAGCATGGTGAGAAGGACGTTGAGTGATATCGTCATGGCGAAGTAGGGCACGGTGGCCGTCACAGCATCGAAAGGTGACGACCGCGAAGTTTCAACAAGGAAGAGCAGCCCAAGACCTGCGTCATCCGTGTCAAAGACTCACTGGGACCAATGGCTCGAGACGTACCAACTGATGCTGTCAACATGAGACAGGGGACTGTGATAATAGCCCACGTTGGTACCACAGATACACCAGCAAAAATGGCCATGTATCTCCAGACCTACGGCGCCTGTAAATAGAAGTCGCGATCCAGGTAAATCAGACGCACCAGCAACGAATCCATAAGCCAATTGCCAAAAACGGTAGCGACCGTTCCGAGCTCATTGCTAGGTATCCAGAACATGTCGGTTTCATAGCGTGCAGGGCCACCGGGGTAGTTACGGTGATTGATGAAAGCCCGTTGTGTCATGTTGACGTTACCGAAGGTTCCAAGGGTACCCAACATGAAGAGCGTAGCGATGAAGATCAAATTGCAGACCTGCCGTTTGCGGTTGCTGGGCGTCATCTTTCGCACGACGTGCTTGCAGCATATAAAGAACAATATGAGGTCTATGCCGTAAAGCAAATTATTGAGGAGCGCGCCCTGGAGCCACATCGTCTCCGCGACGATTTGTGACTGACTCTCGTCATGAGCATAGGAGTCACCCATCATGAGCCACACTGGCCATCGTACGAGTAAGACACCACGAATGGCCTATAAGGTAGAACGACATACGAGCAATAGGTGTTGTTAAGAGGTCTCTAACGGTTGACGCACCTGACGCGACTTGAATCTTATATAGATCGACTGCCGTGCAAGATGCATGCGATTCGCGCATGCATACGGCCTCAGCGGTACTGAAGTATCACGCAATTCTTACGGCGGATGAACGCCGTCGTGTCGTTCGGAACAGGAAGGAAGGAAGTAAGTCGAGGTTATGCTACACCGGACGTTAGGTTTCGTTGCCAAATGGAAACCGGCATTGTTTTGAGCCTCACATGCGTGCCCTCAGCAATGTTACTGGTTCTTTATTCTTTCATAATGGAAACTTACGGAATATGTAGAGCATTTTGCGGTAAAATTTCTGCTAAAAGCATAGTGCGACCGTACATATATCCGGGCGTTGCCGGGTCCCCTACAGCGCCAGACACCACTACGTCTCATGGCGGTGATCAATCCACCATGTCTGGATAGCAGAGAAGCACGGACACATCCGAAGTCTTTCAGTGCATGCAGAGCTGTCCGGCAGTTGCTTACATCTGAATGTACATCTTCACGTCCAAGCAACGTCACATGTCGACCGAAAGGAACACGGTGATGCCGTCCTTTCCACAGAGTAAAGCGATCTACTAAATAAGAACTGAGTGAGAATATATAATCGAGAAGAGGGGGGACCTGAAGGTCACACTTGTTCGCGACCACTTGAAGCCTTATGATGTTGATGCAGCTGTTTGCAGCTTGACCGGAGTATCGTCTACGAATTTCTATGGTTGCGCATGTGTATTTACATTGTATGGCTCAAAGATCAAAATGTTACAACAGGCGCCGCAAGCGTAAGCGAACGGGTATAGAAGCGTCGTGGGAGAAGATTGATTTTCGAGACAGTTTGTCTCGTCCTCGGGACAAGCGCGCGAAGTACGCGCACACATGATCAAACGGTATTTATGTCGGCCAATCGGGTTTCGCTTATACCGGAACCCGGATGCTCCAAAATAATTTGATAAACATGCGATAACATAGCTTCTACATCGTAGATTACAGACAAAAGTACACCCGTATGATTACAAGAATGAACATACAGTAAGCAACATCACAAGTATCACGATGACCGTGTCACATCAGACAACCGAACGACTTTCGTCGCTGATCACCTCGTGTGTTACCATTACGCCGCCATTCGGAAGTGCTTCCTTGTGGGTGTCGCCCTTGACACCGTTACCCATATCAAAGATGGAGGAACGCACGCTTGGCATGTGGCCGAGCCGAATTTCAGGGGCCGAACGTTGGGTGGTCGACAGCTGGACACTCTCGTCTCCCGGGAAGCTTCTGCCTCGTGCGACGCGATATATGATCAACAGAGACGAGACGGTCTGTCATAATGTGAGCCAGTGATTCGGAAAACGACTGCGCATGTTCTCACCTGCACTTGGCCAAGTGCTTGAAGGAACACCGAGCCTAGTGGATTGTTCAATGCCAATGGCACGACGAAGAGGATGGAGAATATCGAGTATAGAGCGGCAGACTCGACCAGAATCGAGGCAAGGTTCGAGTAATGCGGCAAATGCATCCCACCAAACACTGTCCGCGCGCGCCGCTGGTAGTATAATAGCCGGGTCGCAATGAAGACAGTGACCATGACGTTCAGCGCGAGCGTCGTGGCGAAATAGATAATGGTGAACTTTGGAGAGCCGTATGGTGATGAATGTGATGTCTTCACCAGGAAGAGCACTCCTAGGCCTTACAAGACGTCAGAAGGCTGCGGCGCTGATCTTGAAAGCAACGTACTGAAGGAGGCACAGAATAAAATAGAAGGCAGTACGACGACCGCCCAGATTGGGACACCTGGAAGTGCAGAGAATATGACGATACAGCGCCAGACCTTGGAGAGGGATATCAACGAAACATGACTAGACGACAAAGAAGAGACATACCAGTAGCAGGTCCATTAACCAATTGCCGATGACCCATACAGCGACTCCCAGTTCGTCTACTGGTATCCAAAACATATCATTCTCGTAGGCAGATGGACCACCAGGGAAGTTCCTCTGCTCGATAAACGCAAGCTGAGTGAACTCAGACAAGCTATACACGAAGATCGTTCCGAGGATGAAAAGAACACTGATGAAGACGAGTAGGATCAAGTGACGCCTGCGATTTGTACGGTTCATCTGCCGCACGAGCAACTTGAAGCACATAATGAAAAGCGCCAGCTCTACACCGTACACGATGTTACTGAGGAGGGCCCCTTGCAGCCATGTCTTCTCGGCATAGAGAACGTCGGGGGGCTCATCGGGAGCCCAGGACGAGTTGTAGATCATGTTCGGTCACACGAGCTCGCTGGTGCCAGTTATTTCAGTGTCGTGGGCGACGAGGCGACGAGAGGCATGAAAACGTACCTTGGAATAAACGTGGCAATAGGCTGACGAGCGTTCCGCAGCTACAATGGTATCCCTTCTTTGTATATAACGCCGTCATCGGACCCGCTGAACGGACTCGGAGGCGTCAATGTGTGGTTGGATTGGACACTCCTTGATAGGCACGGGTGATAGTTGCCTCGCAGCGTCGGTTATAGCAGTATCGAATCTGTGGATGTGGATGGCAGATTTCTGAACAAAATGATGTGTATCTAGAGTAGATGAGGGCAGAGATGAGGGTAGATAAGACGAACACAGGGGGTGGATCGAGTTCGGCTCAAGTGGAGAAGCGCATCAAATTGAGGCGGGGAACCATGCAAGATAGGAATGCAGCGGTACATTGGGCGGCCGAGATAAGAGACGTCAAGCATGCACCGGTTCATTAGTGACAGGAGCAGGGCCCATGCCGCAAGGGTGCGTCCGAAGCGGGCCCTAGACTCCCTCCGATTGCGATTGAACTCAAACCTACTGCTTGGTCCGAGCCATGGTCTCGAAAGCACTGGTTCTTGCAGCGAATTAAGCCATTATATACCGAGAGTGCGATGCCTGCCATCCTTGGCTGCTGCTTGAAATTCATCAATTGCGTAAAGGAACAGCCATAGACAGGCCAGTGGATTGTACTCAATGGGGTACACCGCCCGACGCCAAGCATCGGTTTATCGGAAGCAGGGAGTGGTGACACGCAGGCCGCGGGCACTGAGTCGGAGTCAATTCATTCCGCCTTACATAAGCATTTTGATCTCCGAGACCCGGCGTACAGATCTCGACTGCCGCATAGCGGCATTCTCATGAGGGGTGCGTCTTGAAGCAGACCTATACTGTGCTTACCCGAGCAGTTGTTACACCTGCATAATTGGCCCAGGAGCCAAGATCGTTGATCGGGCTGTGAGCACCCCGAGAATTTCCCGGAGTCCCGCTCCCTGATTGCCGGCAGGCCTGCTAACTTGGGGGTATGCCGATTGCCCGAAGAGGCACAGTATGTTATGACCATCCCCACATCAAAAAGGTCTGCCTTCGGGCGACAATGGGGAACTTGTATCACCACTCCTTGGCACAAGCCGGAGAGGCGTATGGTGCGCCGCGGCTCAGTGTATAGGATTACTCACGCATTAAGTTACATCGCCACTATTCGCAACTCCTTCGCTATATGAATCAAACTGAGCACCCATCGCAAGACCGTTGCTGCCAGGTGATGCGAATTACAATTCAACAATTGTGCTATCGTCCTTCCTTCTAAGTTTCTTCCTTACTACACAATGCCAATACCCGGAGCATTGAAATAGTTGATCATCTTTGAGCAAGATGACTTGGTCTCCCATTGCTATCGGCTGGAAACCTGCCCGCGTCGTCGCAAGCCGTTGAGTCAAACATGGCGGCGCCGGAGGATGAGAAACTGTCCAAGATTACCACTCCGGACACCGAGGGCGTGAGGTCAATACGATTGAAGGCGAAACAATTACGCGATCGCGTGAACCACTTCTTCACCGCATGGGGCATTGAAACGAATGGGTATGTGATGAGGATCGAATACAAGAGACATACTCATTGAGAAGGCTCTCTGTAGGATTGACCCCGTTCCACCAGCGGAGAGGACAGATAACAAACTCTACCAGATCTTCTTCGTTTGGTTCTCGGTCAACATGAACATTCCTACGTGAGTACGCAGAACACCAATGGCTCTGGTTACATGGCGTTGACGCCCTGCATACAGCTTTGGGATCGGATCCGTGGGTCCAGCTTTCTACGGGCTCGGCCTACGAGAATCGTTGATCACGATATTGATAGTTGATCTGACGTGCGTATTAAATGTAATGCTACTGAATTGTTGCATTGAGTCCTCTTCCATAATACGCAGCACTTGCACAATCCCGGCATACTTGTGAGTGGATGTGTGCGAGCATGCGATGTTATCCAACCATTTCAATCAGCGCTATATTCGGTCCCAAACTCGGCATGCGGTCAATGGTCCAAGCACGTTACACTTGGGGGTCTGTACAATTCATGGCGCTCGCTAACCTCTGGCCGCTGAGACTTCAGCATTGATACAGATACTACGGAGCAATGGTTCCAAGTGCTCTGAACGTATTCTCTATGGAGGGGTACTTGATCCTCACTTGTATCATCGGAGGCCAGATGCTTGCTAGCGTCTCGAATGGACATCTGAACGACACACTGGGAATTGTCATAATAGGTGTGATCTCTTTTGGTGTGAGCTGAAATCTACATTTTGTGCCAGCCGTCGTTGACTCGATCGATGCAGGTCACGTTCTTTGGGTATCGAGTCATCCACTGGTGGGCACTGTCAATAATCGTGCTCAATGTGCTGTTCTGAGACGTATTTTCAGGTACGCCGGCGTTGCGTGGATACCCAACGTCATCACCTTCATAATTATGCTCGGCGTCGGCGGGAAGCATCTCACAATAGAGCCTGCGCCTGGTCCTGTAGCACCGTCCCAAGTCATTACGTTTGCTACTGTGATAGCTTCCAGCGTTATTAGCTGGTGCACGACGACGCCTGATTATGGCGTATACCACCTACAGAATGCCTCAAGGTGCTCTTCACGCTGTCCGGTAGTGTATGTCAACTGACATGCAGTTTCAGAATGCGGGTATTCGTATATGCCTATCTAGGTTTTTCCGTGGCGAGTGTGAGTGTATATGTGACTCCAAGCATCAGGATATCATCAGAAAACTCATCGCATGTAGATCACGGCACACATGCTTGGCGCCGCCTTCGCCGCCTCAGCACTATCGGATCCTGCTTGGAAATTAGGCTTTGACAATGGCAACAATGTTGGCGGCCTTTTTGAGGCAGTCCTTTCTCCCGCAGGCGGTTTCGGGAAGTTTATAACCGTCCTAGTCGCGCTGTCCACTCCAAGCATATGTGCCCCCACGATGTATACATTTGCATCAAGTCTCATGGCTGTCAGCTATTCTTTCGCAAGGATACCGAGATACGTTTTCGCCGTCATCTCAACAGCCATGTAAGTTTTGCTTGCGCGCTTTTCACAATATGAGCTGAAACATTCACCTGGTAGTTTCATTCCCGTCGCCGTAGTCGGCGCCACGCGGTTTTATGCGACTTTCACAGACATCCTTAGTGAGTCCCAGGGCGGAAGTGTCTACTCATATCTGATATTTCCCTCGTCAGGTATAACTGGCTACTGGAGCGTCGTCCACGGCGTCATGGTCCTCATAGAGCACTTCCTCTTTCGCAGAGACAACTTCAACGCGTACGTATTGGAGGACTTCGACAAGCCCCGCCGGTTACCTCCAGGAATCGCGGCGTTGCTCGCATTTCTCTGCGCCTTCGGAATAATCATTCCGTGCATGAATCAGGCATGGTATGTTGGGCCCATTTCCAGAGCGGGCAGTGGAGACATTGGCATAATTGCGGGTAGCTGTGTGATTTGTCTATTGTATCCTGTTCTCAGAGCGGTCGAGAGGTCGTTCTCCACAGAGAATCGAGCTTAGTGGATGGTACGGACATTCTTTCAGCGGCCGCTAGTTCTGTGGATAGAGGATAATAAAGTCTTGAAATATTACGCATATTACGCATTGAATCCTGGAATTGTGAGGCATTATTCACCAATAGCAAAGGTATTACGTACAGCCGTATGTATCGCAAGTCTTCTCAGAACAGTAAAGCCAATGAAAGATGCCCTTAGGACGCAAAGCATGACTACCAACAAATGAGCAGCGGGTAATCGCTCGCATAATGTCACAGCCGTTTGCGAGTCGATAGGATAGGGCACTTACCAGAAAGATCAATAAAGGTCAGGAATTCGGACACGAAAGTTCATCTTGCGAAACCTAAATACAATCTATCAAACTTAAGCGAAAATCTGGACCCTGCCAGCCGCTACACTGAAACCCCGACATCACTGAAGACCTCCTGCGTGACTAGAACACCAGCCTTCCCGGTTTGATCCTCACACACTGGGAACCTGAGACTCGAAATGTGACTTGGCCGGACAAGATCAGAACGTGCTTGGCCATGCAGGATACATGCATCGCTCGGCAAGCTTCGCCCACTGATCACGCGATAATTAATCAAAAGAGATGAAACAGTCTACTCAAGCTGCGTCAGAAATCGCCGCGCCTATACATGACCTTTCAGTGTTACTCACTTGCACTTGCCCCATCGCCTGGAAAACGCAGACGCCAGCGGGTATTGTAGCGGTAGCGGCACAATGTACAGGATTGAAAATACCGAGTACAATGCCGCGAAAACTACAAATATAGCAGCGACGTTGGCATATTGCGCTGTGCTTTTGGAACCAAGCACACACCCGAAGTGATGCCGGTAATAGAGCAGGCGTGCCGCTATGAACACGGTTATGATAATGTTGAGCCTGAGAGATGTGGCAATGTAGGCCACGCTAAAGCCTACGGCTCCATATGGCGATGTGTGCGACGTCTTCACGAGGAAGAGTACACCGAAGCCTGCAGGGTAGATTATTATGACTGCATTTCCAGCATATAAGACGTACTAAAGGAAGCGCGAAACAAGAGGCACGGGAGGACCATAGCAGGCCAGAATGAGACGCCGTGAATATTGGAGAATATCACAATGCAACGCCATACCTACAAATCACAGATTATATGCATTGATATTGGGAGGAAATGCATATCACGTACCATGAGCATGTCCATCAGCCAGTTGCCAACGACCCATGACACCTCACCGAGCTCGTCGACTGGGATCCAGCATCTTATCCCCAAACATCGCTGGGCCACCAGGGGAGTCTCTATCGTCCACGAAAGCGAGCTGAGTGAACTCAGAGTTACTGTACACAAACACCGTGCCGAGTATGAATACGAGAGTGACGAACGACAGGAAGAAAAGCTGTCTCCTGTAATTCTGGCGGTTCGTGTGCTGCACAAGCAGCTTGAAACATATTCCAAACAGGGCTAGTTCGACGCCATACACAATGTTGCTGAGGAGAGCGCCCTGCAGCCAGGTTGACTCTGCAAAGAGCCGGGCAGCGGTTTCTTGTGGCGTTGAGCATGTTAGATTACACGAACGATTCTATGATGATGTCATGTGAGAGTGACATAAGCTAATGAGCTGCCTCAAGCCCTCAAAGGTCGAAGGGCGACTCACCGAGATATTTGAACAGCAATTTAAGTGCGGGTGCGTCAGAGTTCTCCAAAGAATACTCCCAAGGGGTCTAGGGTCTGTGTATTGCATGCTCCTATAAATCCCGCTGGATAGATCGTACATACCATGAGGTATCCTGGCACTATCGAGTAGGTCTCGGATATGTTTCTACCGCATGCCTTCGTGCATGCTGCGACGAGGGTCGATGTGTGGACTCCGGCTCCGAGTAATCTAAGGGAAAGACCTCTCAACGAGTGGTCTCAGGGCCTTCGTTCCTGACTACCACAGACGACCACGGGAAATGACAGCGAGTTGAGACCGGATTCTTTCTGCAGCCTCCACGCGCACCGCACAGTGATCGCCTGCATGGGTTTTTCGTTGGCTTGTTAATGGATAAGAGCAAGAAGGAGTCAGAATCGACCCACCCACTCGCATGTTGCAGAAGGCATTGGTTCGAATGAGATCCAATGTCAAGATCATGGTACCTACGTCCGTGTGCCATGTTCTAGAGACAGGCACGGGCTAGAGAGATGTGTTTTAGTGATTCAGACCATGATTGAACGGCGTGAACCGCACCTATGGGCAACCCTCAGTGTTCGCGGGAAGATCTGTCGACTTGCGCCAGAGACCCACAATGACAGCGGTCTACATCTCTCATCACTTGGATTGAGTCGGCAATAACCGCCATGCTCCGTCCGGTAACCACTTACAACCACACCGCAGGGAAGGATGATTGATTGTATTCGGCCGGTCAAGCAGCCATGTTGCTGTGCTCGATGAGCATTACACATGTATGCATCAGCGATGGACCACGAAAGGCCACGTGCGCAGACCACAGCGCGTCGTCCAAGTTATATCTCTGTGCAGTGCTGTTACCCTGGCGCCCCGCCCCATCTCAGTAATCAAACCATCTAGGGACGGAATCCAATCACGAAGGGGGTCCGTTGCGGAACCTCGCCAGGTCTCTCTACCACAGTCCTCCAGGCCCGCTGCAGAAGAATATCCTACCTACAAGAGTCCGTTCCGTCTCCGAGTCGGAGGTAGCTGCGAGACTCCCGACACCGACGTCACATGCCGAATTCTGGAGGTTCATGACAAGGCACCGGTCCTTCTCAGCAAGGGAGCGAGCTGCCGGCTTCATGTTTACGATACACCGGGATGGACATGGCGGATGATGAATCATATGTGGCATGCTTGAGATAATGAACAGCCCGGAGGACGCCTCGGCCCAATCAGCTACCCCTGCCTATAGCATGCTTGCATAAATTCAGGTCATCCGATGTTCAATACGCACGTTGTCGTTGCAGCGGGCCTCCGTGTACCAGACGACTCGTCGACCAGCTTGGATCGATCAGGCACAGGGGGGGGGGGGGGGGGGGGGGGGG